ATGATAAGTACGAGCACTGACACAATGTCAAAACTCTGTCCACGATTGTATGCTGACCCCGCATTACATATGCCGATCCAATCATCTTTTGTGACAAGTCGGTAGCGACTCGAATATTCACAAGTAGTCTGTATGGTGTCAGCTCCAGTTAATGGCCAAAAAGGCATCATCTTCGGGAAGACTGATGGCACATTGCAAACTCTTTGGGAAGAATCCGAGAAAGAGAAAAAAGATTTGCAATTCTCGTATTTCACACCAATGACCCGAAATCTTATGAAAAAGATGGCGACCACAGTTGCTTCTGCCAACATCTTGGTGAACGCTTGAACCTTATTTGCTGTTTGCGCTTCCTATTGTCTCCTCATTTCCTCTTGACTTTTCATCACCTTCTTTGTTATTGCTTCAACAATTGATTCGGGGAGTTGCTCACATGGGTCAATAACCTTGTTCTCATTACTTCTCAGCATGGTTTGGGTAATGTCTCTTCCCTGGAGACGTACACATCCAGAAGGTTCATATCCATTGACCATCTTCCAAGCATCCATGGCTTCTCCATCACTTTGTTCAGGAGGTGGAGTTATTCTAATGTACTCGACAATATCAAATCAAACAATTAATATGCATGTCATATACACATTTTACAACTAAAATTCTAAGAATAGCATGACTTGCAATCAAATCAAGTGTCGCCTTATTTTGTGGTTTTTTCTTCTGTTTACGGGTCAAACACTTCAGCATCTGTTAGAGCTCTGTCAAATCCTTTTCTTGCAACGAAATGTCAGGTCAACCATTCACTCATTCTTGCAACAAAATGTCAACGAAATGTCAGGTCAACCATTCACTCATTCTTGCAACAAAATGTCAGATCAACCAATTTGGAACTGCTTTCACCGGAGCCAACATCGGCTCAGTTTCCTCGGGAGAGCCGACTGTCAGTACGACGACCATACCTACAATCTCAGAAGTGGATCCTTTGGCTACATCATCCGGCAATACGTAGCAATTGACTACCCACAAGTTGAACAGTAAAAACTACCTAGAATGGGCGCAGACCGTCAAACTTGTAATTGATGGAAAAGGGAAACTTGAACACTTGACTTGTGAGGTAAAGAAACCAGCAGATGATGATCCGAATCTCAGGATTTGGAGATCGGAAAATTCCATGGTTACTGCCTGGCTTATTAACTCGATGGAACTGGCGATCGAAAACCCTTTCTTTTTATTCCCACCATAAAAGAAGTATAGGAGGCTGTCCGATATACGTACTCTGATTTGGAAAATCCCTCGCAAATTTTTGCCCTCAAAACGTGACTCTAGCAAGTGAAACAAGGAGACCGTGAGGTTACTGTATATTACAACAAAAATGTTATATTATGGCAGGAGCTGGATTAGTGTTATGAGGAGAAATGGGAAAGCTCCAAGGATAGCATTTGACATTTAAAGAGAGAAGAGAATGAACAAGTTTACATGTTTCTAGCAGGCCTAAACCGGGAATTTGACGAAGTCAGAGGCGGGATTTTAAGCCGGAAACCTCTCCCGAATATAAGGGAAGTCTTTTCTGAGGTTCGAAGAGTAGAAGCTCGACGACATGTGATGATGACCGGGGCAGAAGCTATTCCAGAAACTGAGTCTTCGACCTTGTTCTCCAGAGGTCCGAAACCTGAAGGTGAAAAAAAGAATTCCAAACGCGTTGATAAGCCTTAGTGTGATCATTGTAAAAGGCCTTGGCACACCCGTGATACCTGCTGGAAGCTGAACGGAAAACCTCCAAATTGGAAGAGGAAAGGAGTTAATCTGGCATTCCAGACCTCAGTTGATGATCAGAATTGTCACTCTTCTACAGAACAACTCTCGTTCACAAAGGAACAATTGGAGAATTTATGCAAACTGCCTACATCTAGACTTATAAGTAGCATTCCTTTGAAATTTTTTGGATGCAAGCCTTTGTTCATAAGCATAGTCATAATCGTGGAAAACTTGATCCAAGGACGAAAAAGTGTGTTTTTGTTGGTTACTCACCAACTCAAAAAGGGTACAAATGCTTTGATCCTATTAATTGGAAATTTTTTGTATCTATGGATGTTACCTTTTTGAAACACAAAAATATTTTGGGGATGCGCATCTTCAGGGGGAGAATGAAAGTGAAGATGAGTTGTTTTAAGAAATCTTAAGTAGTGAACACACAACATTAGATTCTAAGAATGAAAGTGAAGATGAGTTGTTTTTAAAAATCTTTGGTAGTGAGCACACAACATTAGATTCTATCTCCACAATTATCACCCCAAACACTGAAAAACTGAACCTACATCAGACCCTTCTGGCTCAACCATTGCAGGAAAGGATGTTGATTCTGTTATAGAAGTGTGACAACCGGCTGATTTCGAACTGGCAGATTTGGTTAGACCACTAGGGGATACACTTAGCATAGAAGGACCAGGACTTGATTCAGTTGATACTGATGTTGTTCCAGTCTCTGGTCCTCTTACTCAGAGTGAAAGCAATGTAGTACCTGACCTAGATACAAGGGTGTTAGGTAATAAAAACTCTAGCACAAACATTCTAATGACATCACAAGTTTTGCAGGATCCAGAATTGTGTGTGAAACCAAGTGGAACAGAGATAGGACTTCGTGTCTACTCAAGGAGGAAAAATTATCAAGGAAAAAAGGGTGTCACCACACAGGAAAGTCATGACTCCAAATCGAAGGAGGTTTCCTCTTCAAAGTCGTCAAGTATACCTAACTCTTGTGATAGTGATCATTTAGAAATTCTCATTGCTCATAGAAAAGGTGTTTGCTCATGTACCAAACACCCCTTGTCTAAATTTGTTTCCTATGACAGACTATCTCCTTTTCTTGCTTTTACCTCACAACTTTTCAGTATAGAAATTCCAAGGAATGTGCAGGATGCTTTAACTGTTCCGGAGTGGAAGGAAGCTATTCTTAAAGAAATGAGGGCTTTGGTTAGAAACGGAACGTAGGAAGTAGTGGACCCGCCTGAAGGGAAAAAACTGTGGACTGTAAATGGGTATTTACAGTCAAATACAATGCAGATGGACCATTAGACAGGTACAAAGCCAGACTTGTAGCAAAGGGGTTTACTCAAACCTATGGGATTGACTACTCTGAGACATTTGCGTAGGTTGCCAAGCTTAACATAGTGAGAGTGCTTCTTTCAATTGTAGTGAATCTTGACTGGCCTCTTCAACAACTTAATGTAAAGAACGCCTTCCTAAATGGTGATTTAGAAGGTCTACATGGAACCTCCACCTGGGTTTGATAGGAAATTTGGCTCTAAATTTTACAAGTTAAAAAAATCCTTGTATGATCTCAAGCAGCCACCCAGGGCATGGTTTGAAAAATCACACAATTTGTTAAGAAGCATGGGTATACTCAAAGTCAAACTGATCATACTCAATTTATCAAGTTCAAAGGAAGAAGGGTTGTTGACTTAATTGTGTATGTGGATGGTATAATACTCACTGGGGATGACATAATTGAGATGGACAGACTCAAGAACTTAACATCTGAATTTGAAATAAAAGATTTAGGGTCGTAGAAGTATTTTCTTGGCATAAAGGTAGCTCGATCAAAGCAAGGAATTGTAGTCTCCCAACGAAAATACATACTTGATCTCTTACAAGAAACAGGTAGCTCGATCAAAGCAAGGAATTGTAGTCTCCCAACGAAAATACATACTTGATCTCTTACAAGAAACGGGTATGAGTGGATGCCGACCATCTGAGACTCTCCCAACGAAAATACATACTTGATCTCTTACAAGAAACGGGTATGAGTGGATGCCGACCATCTGAGACACCAGTAGAGGCAAATGTAAAACTTGGGGATAGTGAAAAAAGGATTCCAGTTGATACTGCAAGTTACCAAAGATTGATTGGTAAGCTAATCTACTTGTCGCACACAAGAACGGACATAGCCTTCGCAGTAAGTGCAGTGAGCCAATTCATGCATTCTCCATACGAGGAACATCTAGATGCAGTTTATCGGATCCTCAGATATCTGAAGAGTACTCCTGGTAAAGGATTGTTTTTCATAAACAATGAACAGCAAGGAGTTGAAGTCTACACCGATGCAGATTGGGCTGGATCGATAGTTGATCGACGTTCTACCTCTGGATATTGCACGTTTGTTTGGGGCAACCTCATCACTTGGAGTAAGAAGCAGAATGATGTTGCTAGTAGCAGTGCAGAAGCTGAGTTTCGAGCTATGTCACATAGAGTATGTGAAATGCTGCGGCTCAAGCGTGTCCTAGAAGAATTAAGGAGACCGATTAACTTACCCATGAAGTTGTGTTGTGACAACAAAGCTACCATTAGCACTGCACACAATCCAGTACAACATGTCAGAACGAAGCATGTGGAGATTGATAGACATTTCATAAAGGAAAAAACTTGATACAAAGATCATATGTCTTCCTTTTGTTCCAACAACTCAACAAGTTGCAGATGTACTTACTAAAGGGCTTTTAAGACCAAATTTTGAACTCATGATAGGCAAGTTGGGCATAATAGATATCTATGCTCCAACTTAAGGAGGAGTGTCAAGAATCTACGAGATTAGTATTAGGTTTGTTATTTTTTTTAAATATCCGGTATGATAGCAGATAAGTATTGATTATAATTGATTTAGTTTGTTAGTGATAGGCTTTATCTTAATAAGTGGTTGAGATTCTGTAAAATAATCTCAACCCTCTTAGGCTAATCATTCAGCTATGTACGTTTGCTTGAGATATAATAAAAAAAAATTCTGAGTTTCTCCCTTCTCAAAACCTACAATTACCATCTCTTGGACCATAGCTAAACTTTTCGAGCTAGAAGTGTGAATAAGTTTTTGTTTGTCATGAATTTTCTTATTACTCTTGCTGGCTAACTACATAATTATAAAACAATCAGTAAGTTTTTCATGGATAGCAAGCTTTAAAGAGACATGCTGAACAAAATAAGGAAATCATGCAGCAGACATAGGGCTAATAGACTAATACTGATTCTTAATTTTTCAGAGTGTCGATTCTTTAGAGAAGCTTTAGATTGATCCTCCTGCACATTCTAGCAGTGCCTTTGCAAACTTTGGCGATCGTTTTTCAAACACGCAAAGCACTCACGTCTCAGCTTGCATTTCCATCTCATCCATGAGCCACTAATGCTTAGCAAAACCCATTTATTTCCATTATCAGCAGAGTAATTTTTCTGCGGTGACATGATGTTATGAGTTAAATACTTACTTTGTACATGAACTAAAGTTTGAAAAACAAATTATTACCAATCATTTTAGCTCTATAAAAGATCATGTGAAACACTATACAAAGATTTTAAATCTTCATTAAAAGAGGTGAGTTTATATGGGATACATACCCGCACATATTTCCACAGGTTGTCCTTATCCGCTTTCAAAATCTGATGTGAGCTCTCCTGATTTAGTGATACCTGTCGTGAAGTTCTTCCAAATGAACTGAAAAAGCTGCTTAGGTCAGTTAATATCTTATCTGTCAGACCAATAGGTACTCCAAATTCATCTAAACTAACAAGTGGTCATGCCACTTTGCCCTCTTCATGAACTTTTGATGTGCACTTGGTTAGCCCTCTATGCTTTTTGCACTACTCTCCTGCTTTATTGTTGCTTCATTTTCATCACCCCCTCCATTCGACACTAACTGGCAAGCTTCCCTTTCAGGCATAGCATCTTCTATGTCTCTCTGGTCAGCTTTCGTTATCTCTCGTCTCTGTCAACCTCTCGATTCATCTTCCCTCGTATCCTCATCTTCATCAGACTCTATAATTTGTCCCCATAATCTCCTTGGAGATGTTCATTTTCTATACTAACATTTTGTAACTCTTCCTCTCTCTCCCCATCAATGTATGGTTAAAACATTTCCAAGGATCTTTTTATCCTTTTTCTGGTATACTTTCCACTTGTATTTGATTCTTTCCCAGAATCTTCTTACCTTTGTTCCTCCTGGGTCTCATGTCCCTAAAATGATCTAGTTTTTGCAAATTGCGCATTTGCAATCTGCACTTGCTTTCGCAGCTTGCTTGCAATATGCTGTTGGTTATGAGTTTGAGATTGTTGTTGTGGTCACATCCTTGCAAGATATGCCATATGTAGAGGACAAAAGGTCTTTTTATGGATCATCATTGCTTGTCACCTACATAATAAAGATGAGAAGATCATCAAATGTACCAAACTAATAGTTTGTACTTTAGAAAACAGATGGTAGCAGTGAGCCTGCTTTGCGCTAAATATGAGAAAATTGTTAAATATGATAACTTGAATCTCATTAAATACCAACTTAAGCTGAAACATACACCCACAAGATTAAAAAATATGTCCTAACAGTAACACTTCAGTTAATTTAACATACTAATATCAAAACTATACTCCCCTGAAGCTAAATTGTACTCCCGGAGATAACCTGCATCGAATAAAAATAGTAAAGATTTGTCCGGCTTGCAACAACAACAATTACTATCTGCTTTTCTTTCTCAGTGCTATACAGAACAAGATCCAAAAACACAATGACTTGACAGTTGATTACATATAATGAATCCAAGGGTAACATTCTAAAGTGTAATCATTCTGTAGAAGGAAGAATACAACCAAGACAATAGTCAAATGTCTCTATAGGATTGCTTTTTAAAAAATGAAATAACAAGAAAATTTGTGTTGTATATTTGTAAAACCCCGTAAATCAGAAAATATTATGATTAATAGTGATAAATGAGTTTTATTATGATGAATATCATTTAATGATGAATGAGCATGATAGTAATTGATTTGAGATCAATTAAGAGTATATATGCATATACACCGAGGCAATTCGAATCTGGAAAAAACTCAAAAGACAACTTGTAGGTCTCTGCAATAGTTTTTCAACGCAACTTTAATCACCTCATTCCGAGGTCGGACGAAAAAATTACAGCCAAAATACCGAAGACTGTCCAAACGAGCACAAAATAAGAAAGACAGGCTACAGGGTGTGGTGCGCACCACACCCTGGTGTGGTGTGGTGGACCGGCCCTGACAACATTTGGAAGATAGCTTTTGCCACACCCGTTGTTTTAAATATCGGCCGATAATCGATATTGCCGGACGAGTTATCGGATTTTTGAGCTCTCCGCTAGGATAAGTTGGTTTTGTAATCGGTTATCATTTTGGAGAGATTATCAGCGAGTTATCGGCGTTATCGACACTTATCGGCCGATAAGTAAGGCTAAATTATCGGGATTATCGGGATTATCGGCCAGGCATTTTGAGTTGAGTTGTTAAGTTTTTAAAACCCAACCCGACCCGTTTTGTTAATAATATGAAACTTAAAACTCAAAACTTTGTGAATCCGACCTTCAAACCCTAGCTTCGTCTCTGGCAGTTGCGCCTTTTCTCGTAGGGCGCTTCCTCCGTTATCTCCATCTTATGTTCTCTACGCCTCTTCGTCGCTCGCCTTCGTGGACTTCAACCTTGAACTTCGCCGCTCGCCTACCCTCTGTCAACCATATTTTTTTTGTCCGAAAACATGGCTATATACACATACTGTGAGCTTTCCTTCTCTTGTAATTCCTTCACGCACGCACTCTCTTTTGAGTGATATCAGTTCTATAACTATTCTTTTATCATACTTTGTTTTTCTGTTTTTCCTGTAACAGAGACTTATATAAGAAATTAGTGAATAAACTGTACATACTTTGCTTTTCTGTTTTGGTATGTTTATATTTTATTAAGCATGCTTAGATTATATTTTTTAGTTGTTATATTATATATATACATCATCCAGTATATTGCTCCGATAAATACTACTTATCCCCGACATATCCCCGATTTTCGCTATCCGATAAGAATTTTGACCGTCCGATATATCCCCGATAACCGATATTTAAAACCTTGGCCACACCCGAGTGTGGCACGCACTACACCCTGACGGGTTGTTGTTTCAGTTTGAGTTAGTTCGGGTTTGTTAGTATATATGGATATAATTCAAGAAAATCTCTCTTTTACTTCATATTTTTGAACCCTAGCACCCACCCTCTCCCCTCAAAAACCCTAGAACATATTTTGGTGAATTTTGAGAGCTTTGTGAAGCAAATACCGAGAAGAGGGCGAGAACATCGGCATTTGGCGAGGGAGAACTTGTTTTCTTGCATCGTTGGGATTTTCAGCAGCGTTTTGAGGTGAGTTTCATCTCCTCCAATCTCATCACTGTTTTTTAAATTGATTTTTATTGAGTTTTATTTGGTTTTATTGAGCCTTAAAACCTAGTTTAAGTATAAAGATTGATCTTTTAAAATATATGATACAAAGATTTGATCTTTCAGTTTTAAAAAGTTATAAACCGATTCCTAGATTTAGGTTTAAGTTATGAAATCATTGTTATAAATTGCGGTAAAAAACCCCGTAATAGTGACGCTAATAGCGTTAGCGGTCCCTTCCCGAGACGCTATCGCCCGCTACGCTATCACGTAATAGCGGTGACATATTGCGGAATATGTCTGTTCACAAAAGCAGCCAATAGTGTCATAATAACGGTAAATAGTGAGCGATTGCATTCAAAATTTGCTTTTTGACTGCTATTTAAAAGCGGTTTGAGGCTTATTTTTTTAAATTAAACTCAACCATTGACCATTACATTCCACCGTCTCCTGTGATTTTCAGCATACTCTCGCCACCTCTCATAGCCTCTGGCACCTACCTTGATACTTCCTCTCATCTCCTTCATCGTGAGCTCCTCTTAAGACAGTCCTGTCACCGCTAAGCTCTTCTTCTCGAAGACGACAACTTTTTGACTCCTCTAGTCATCTTCAATATTACGTGATGGTTACATATCTATTTCATGTTTAGGATCTCTTTAAATCATCCAATATGTACTTTTAGATTTCTTAGATTTTTCTTTAATTTTTTTATTATTTATACATATCTAAATTAGACCGCTATTTGTCTTTGCGCTTTTTTCGCTATTTTACCGCAATAGCCCGAAATAGCTTTAGCGATGTCTCACCGCTACGCGACGCTATCCGCTATCGATAACCTTGTCTGAAATAAATTTAACTGGAGTTTTCGTTGAGATTTATTAGTTTTTATGATGTTTCTGATGAACATGAACATGTTAGGGTTTATATAATTCCACTAATTATATTAATTATGCTTCATGTGGAAAATTGAACCCTAATCACATTAAACATGTTTAAGATGAATATCTTCATGTAAAAATATGAATTTGTGGCATTGTAGATCAAAACCCGAAACCTGAATCAAATGTTTTGTTTGTGCTCAGGTCGGTTGACCGAAGTAAAGGAGTCGGTCGATCGATCAATCCCAATTATATTGCATAAGTATGTTTGTGCACGTATTTCAGCCGACCGAAGGGTTATTTTCGGTCGACTGATTTGTGTTGTACTGTGTTTGTTGATTGTTGACACGTGAGTTGATAGTGAATACGAAGTTCGGGTCTGCACATTGAGACACGTGCTTTGGCACTGAAGTATACGTTTTGGGGTTACGTTTGCACGAGCAATTGAGGTAAGTAACATATATTCTTGAGATTTGTCATAATAAATAGTGACACATAGATTGCATTTCATGATAGTTGGATGTTTGAGTAGTTAGTTGGTATGTTATAATGAGACCGCAGCAGACTACACTCCGTTGTGCATCATTATTGGGTGGGGTAGTTGGCACTCCGCAACGAGACCGCGGAGGACTATACTCAGGGTGTGTTAGTTGGTATACTGCAATGAGTCGCGGTAAACTTCACCCATGTGTATTTTTTTTACATTCCAGATAGAGAACTATTCAGTTTGCATTCATGCTCCCATGTTATTTACCCGAGAGTAGGGTATTACACTGATATTGACATGCATGGTATATCCTATCGGATGTGACGGCACCACTACCCGAGGGTAGTATAAGGATTTGATGTGACTTATATTGTTGAGGTTTGGAGTTGTTTTTCTTTACCGTTTCCCTTTCCAAGGACTTTGGGGTTGGGATTTAGCGATTCATAATTTGAGACATGGTATATAAATGAGGGTTTTCTTGTTT